AGACAGACAGACAGACAGACAGACAGACAGACAGACAGACAGACAGACAGACAGACAGACAGACAGACAGACAGACAGACAGACAGACAGACAGACAGACAGACAGACAGACAGACAGACAGACAGACAGACAGACAGACAGACAGACAGACAGACAGACAGACAGACAGACAGACAGACAGACAGACAGACAGACAGACAGACAGACAGACAGACAGACAGACAGACAGACAGACAGACAGACAGACAGACAGACAGACAGACAGACAGACAGACAGACAGACAGACAGACAGACAGACAGACAGACAGACAGACAGACAGACAGACAGACAGACAGACAGACAGACAGACAGACAGACAGACAGACAGACAGACAGACAGACAGACAGACAGACAGACAGACAGACAGACAGACAGACAGACAGACAGACAGACAGACAGACAGACAGACAGACAGACAGACAGACAGACAGACAGACAGACAGACAGACAGACAGACAGACAGACAGACAGACAGACAGACAGACAGACAGACAGACAGACAGACAGACAGACAGACAGACAGACAGACAGACAGACAGACAGACAGACAGACAGACAGACAGACAGACAGACAGACAGACAGACAGACAGACAGACAGACAGACAGACAGACAGACAGACAGACAGACAGACAGACAGACAGACAGACAGACAGACAGACAGACAGACAGACAGACAGACAGACAGACAGACAGACAGACAGACAGACAGACAGACAGACAGACAGACAGACAGACAGACAGACAGACAGACAGACAGACAGACAGACAGACAGACAGACAGACAGACAGACAGACAGACAGACAGACAGACAGACAGACAGACAGACAGACAGACAGACAGACAGACAGACAGACAGACAGACAGACAGACAGACAGACAGACAGACAGACAGACAGACAGACAGACAGACAGACAGACAGACAGACAGACAGACAGACAGACAGACAGACAGACAGACAGACAGACAGACAGACAGACAGACAGACAGACAGACAGACAGACAGACAGACAGACAGACAGACAGACAGACAGACAGACAGACAGACAGACAGACAGACAGACAGACAGACAGACAGACAGACAGACAGACAGACAGACAGACAGACAGACAGACAGACAGACAGACAGACAGACAGACAGACAGACAGACAGACAGACAGACAGACAGACAGACAGACAGACAGACAGACAGACAGACAGACAGACAGACAGACAGACAGACAGACAGACAGACAGACAGACAGACAGACAGACAGACAGACAGACAGACAGACAGACAGACAGACAGACAGACAGACAGACAGACAGACAGACAGACAGACAGACAGACAGACAGACAGACAGACAGACAGACAGACAGACAGACAGACAGACAGACAGACAGACAGACAGACAGACAGACAGACAGACAGACAGACAGACAGACAGACAGACAGACAGACAGACAGACAGACAGACAGACAGACAGACAGACAGACAGACAGACAGACAGACAGACAGACAGACAGACAGACAGACAGACAGACAGACAGACAGACAGACAGACAGACAGACAGACAGACAGACAGACAGACAGACAGACAGACAGACAGACAGACAGACAGACAGACAGACAGACAGACAGACAGACAGACAGACAGACAGACAGACAGACAGACAGACAGACAGACAGACAGACAGACAGACAGACAGACAGACAGACAGACAGACAGACAGACAGACAGACAGACAGACAGACAGACAGACAGACAGACAGACAGACAGACAGACAGACAGACAGACAGACAGACAGACAGACAGACAGACAGACAGACAGACAGACAGACAGACAGACAGACAGACAGACAGACAGACAGACAGACAGACAGACAGACAGACAGACAGACAGACAGACAGACAGACAGACAGACAGACAGACAGACAGACAGACAGACAGACAGACAGACAGACAGACAGACAGACAGACAGACAGACAGACAGACAGACAGACAGACAGACAGACAGACAGACAGACAGACAGACAGACAGACAGACAGACAGACAGACAGACAGACAGACAGACAGACAGACAGACAGACAGACAGACAGACAGACAGACAGACAGACAGACAGACAGACAGACAGACAGACAGACAGACAGACAGACAGACAGACAGACAGACAGACAGACAGACAGACAGACAGACAGACAGACAGACAGACAGACAGACAGACAGACAGACAGACAGACAGACAGACAGACAGACAGACAGACAGACAGACAGACAGACAGACAGACAGACAGACAGACAGACAGACAGACAGACAGACAGACAGACAGACAGACAGACAGACAGACAGACAGACAGACAGACAGACAGACAGACACCATCGTGTTTATGCATTGGTGTTTATCCAATTGGTACAGTAAGTGCTTCAGTCAGTGCCTGAAATATTCATTTTCATTGACTGAATATTTGGTGTCTTCAATGCACATCACATTCATTTTCGCTTCCCAAATATTCATTCAGTGGGTTATTGATCAATATTCAATACCAAAAGCAGCCGCATCTCTCTTCCACTGCGAAGCTTCTCATTCATTCAGTTGTTCTACCATTATGTAGGTAGGTATTCTCATTCGTTCTTTGTTGTGGAAAAGAAGAAATGGATCAGGACTGAGCCAGTAAGGGATATGGAGAATGGGTAGTTTTTGTAGGGAAGAGGCGTGTGTTTGGACATACACTCCCGATCATAAGTTTGGGGTCACCCTTGAAAAAACATGCAAATGTATTATGCTCATATCTCTGCCAATTTAATTCCGATTTTCGATCTTTTAAGGTCATTTTAAAAGGTACTGACTGAAATTTAGTTGGTATTTAACTGCTTACATATATTTTTCAATATTTGTTTGCTAAAAATTCTTCTAAAGTTACAAAATTTTCCAAAATTTACGCTGAATGTTCACGACTGATTTTCTCAAAATTGAATCGGTCGAATTTTGAAATGAACGTGGTAAAATAATCCTTGTTGTTTGTGTTTGTGAAAGTATAATTGAAAATTTTAGAATATGCTTTAAATCAATACGGTAGTGATTAAAGTCATTGATCAAAAGTTTGGGGTCACCCCACAGTGTGGTTTGTCGCTATTGAAAGTTTAATTGAATTTTTAGGATGCAAAAATTAGAACAAATGTTAAGCCACATACCAACGTGGTAAAATACATTCATAGCTTTTCAAATACTGCAAAGAAAAAAAAAATGGACAAAAAATGCAGATATATGAACAAAACGACCAATCAAGGTCAACCTCAGTATGGTGTAATCGTAAAAATTAGGGGACACCTTCAAAACAGATCCTGAAAATGTTTTTCTCTATATATATCTTCCATTGTTTGTCCAATTTATGTTCTCTTTGCAGTATTTGAAAGGCAATGAATGGATCTTATTTTGTTGCTATGTTGCCGTGCACCAGCTTGGACTTCCGGCCGTTCGGAACAAATTTATTGGTGGTAAGATCAAGATCATAATGATATTGAATCTACTACCAGTTGATTTGTTTAATGCAGCTAAGGATCCAGACTGCGGGATGCTCACTATGCTCCACCTGTTCACTATACCCACAGGAGTGGAACTTCGGATCAGTTGTGCAGTTGTGATAGGCAGAATGCTATGATAGTGTGAGTGCACATAGAAAGCCCGTGTGGAACGCAACCACAACACATCGCTTGTTGAGCAGAAAAAACGAAACACTTTTTGATTCACCGATTTGTTTGCACTTCCTCTTCTGTTCTGTGCTATGCCCCTCCTCCCCCTATATATGCTTAATTTCCAAGTACACTAACAATATCGACAAACCATACTATGGGCATATTCTAAATCTTTCAACCAAACTTTCACAAACGAATTTCGATGGGCGAGTCGATGGGTATAAAACAAGGTTTCTACTACCACTTTCATTTAAAAATTTGACCAACCCATTTTTAAGAAAAACAGTCATGAACAGTCAGTGTAAATTTTGGAAAATGTTGTAGCTTTAGGAGAATTTTTAGCATACAAATATTATAAAATATATTAAATGACTTGCATACGAACTACATTTCAGTCAATACTTTTCAACTGACCTAAAAAGATCGAAAAACAGTTGTAAAATGGTAGAGATATGAGCAAAAAACATTTACAAGTTTTTTGAAGGGTGTCCCCAAATTTATGATCGGGAGTGTATAAGCGATTCGATTGGTAAACATTTCTAAAATTTCGCAAAAAAATGTGTTTTTCTTTCAAAATCTGTAATGCTTTTAAACAGTGATTGATTGAAATTAGAAATCAGATAATTACATCTGATCCAAGCAAACATGTACCACTGCGATATTTAGCTGTCATTTTTTTTTTCATTACGATCAAGACTATCATTTCAAATAGAAGTTTTTTGATCAAACTAATAATAATTACTTCCAGTAACAAAGATTATTTCCGACAAGAAGACAGGAAATTTGCAGCCATAAGTTTAAATAATATCTTCCTGGATATAACCACCACCATCAATATGGCACATGTATTAGAAGCAAATTTTCATTGTTTATATTTCATTGCAGGTGGAAAACGGAAAATAAACATGAGTGGAAAAATGAGAAACATCCAAAGTTTATTCAGGCAACGAGTTGAAATACCAAGATTTGATCCATCATCAAAAAGGAAGCAAAGATATAAATATCAGGAATTATGATGTTTTTAAACAAGTCAACATTGTTTGGCTTTTGAAATTTTCTGATACTCTATTTATGGTTGAGTTAGCAACGTAATCCAGTATATTGTTGATAGGCAAACGAGACGAATGGGGGTAGATTGGTCAGTTGTTCCTCAATTTCATGCATTTTCACGTTATGGGGCGTACATTAAAAATCAAAACTTTTATTCAACACATTTATTTCAAGAATACCAAGTAAACCATGAGATCAAAAAAAAAAAAAAAATTACATAAGAAATATTTTGCTTCATGATTTTTCTTATTCGTTTTAGGTAATCAAAAACCAAAAGAGAGCTACTCGAGTGTAGTACCATTTGGTTGGCACATGCTTGGCATAATCTCTTCGAAAAGGTCCTTGTTCAACTTCACCAGGAGAATACTTGAAAGGTTTTCTTCACCTAGTGTCGATCGATGATCTGTCAAGATAAGCGCCAAAGCACTGAAAGCTCTTTCAACTGATATCTGGTTGGATGGGGTAGCCAGAACAACAGAAGCCACGGCACTTAGCTCAGGATGGGTGGTTCTTCTGTCTGTCCAATGCTTCCAAACATCATGGCTGTGATTTTGTCTGGGCTCTACCTCAAGAGCCTTGAGCTGTTGTAAAAACGCAGAATCCCTAGTTTCTCCCGTTGAAGAAGAGCATTCTCCGAACAGCTCTGTTAAGTAGTGATCAAAGTCATCCTCAGTTGTCTCAGTAGTAGCTGGAGAGGCCACGGCAGCTGATGGTGCCGGGTTTTGATACGATGAAATCCTCTTGTACGTTTCGATTATGTAGTTCTAAAAACACAAGAAAAACAAACAACAATGAACTATTAGTAGTGCAATCGATACATGTACATTACTAAACAGATTCAATTTTAAATATAATTTACCTGTATTAGCTCTTTTTCATCACTAGTAAACAGCTTGGAGCCCATGTAATTCAGTCGAGGATCCAAGTACAGTGCCATTTTGAAAGCTCTGGATGTTTTGAGGTTTTCTATACGATTGGTCAACGCAGCAGTCAACGGAGTAGCAAATGGGTTTTGCGTGAGCTTCGACACTTCCATTACAGCCAGAAGCCATTGCAAATAAAAATCTGGCAATGACACGTGTTCCGACTGCATATTCTTCGTGCAGTAGTATAACGGTTTAAACGCCTGCACATAATTACCAATAAACTCCCAGTCATTAGAGAGATCTGAAAAAAATGATGTCAAGTGTTACAATTTTTGTTGTATACATAAATATCATGGAATATTACCAAGTTCTGGGAACTGCAGGGCCAACTCCTTGAAAAAATTTTCCTGCTCAGTAAAACTTTGCATCATCTTGAATATACCCCCCCAACGGGTTTGACCCCATACAGGAGGGTATGATGCCTTTACCAACTCAAAACTGGGTTTGTATTTGATTTGTTTGCACTTCTTGGCAATATCTGTTACTCGTCTACATGATGCGTTCGACTTGTCAACTACATCCAGAATTGCCAGTTGCAGGGTATGAACCGCACATCGAACGAGATTGAGGTTCTCTTTGAACTCGTTGTTTAATGCTGTGGTGAACTCATGGTCTTCCTTGTCTTGCTCTTCGGTGTATTCTGAGTCCAAGGCCAACAACTCTATTTCCTGCTTGAGTTGTCGAACTGCGGCGAGCATATTGGCTCCGTTGTCACATGTCACTGAGAATATTTGATTTATTCCAACGCCGTAACTGTTCACAACCTCCAATATTTTACTCTTCAAAAACCGGGCCGTTTGACGTTCTTTTATTTCCAGCATTCCTATAAACAAAAACAGTTGATATCCAATAGATTAAAATATTATAAATGATAAATTTACCCAAAGTGCGAATCACTACACTGTCGTTGATTGAGTATTGTGCATTTATGCCCAGTACATGGCGGTTGTGTCTAGAGGCTGAGTCAATTTTGAGGCTGATAAGCCGACCTTTCGTTTCTGCTGCTATAGCCTCGCGAATCCTGCCAGCAATTTCCTTGACCGTAGCCTTCATATTTGTTGGATTCATTGTTACACCAACAGCTGATGCCAAAGGATCAAGCAGTTGCTTAAATCCTTCCCATTGCAAACATGCCAAGGGCATGTTGTGGTACGACATCAGTTTCACCAATGAATCCATAAACAACAATTTGTCAATTGGTACAGGACGTTTTGCCACAACTCGCTGCTTCTTTGCCGGTGTTTCCTCTTCCTTGGTTAACCCGTTCGCCACAGCCAAATCATGATGACGGGTCCGGAAGTGTCGAATGAAGTTTCCAATGTCCAATCTATCTTGAGTATAGTTGCATGTTGTTCCTGGATCAATGGCACATGAAGTCTTTGCTCCATCTCTTCGAATGAAGCCTTTCGCAATATCGGCGAGAGTCACTTTATTTTCACTACGCTTTTTACTTTTCTTTCCTACACTTTTATCTGCTGTTGATACAGATGTCGACGGGTTTTGATTTTCCATCTTAATTCGGATTTTGTTTACAAAATTACGCAGAGAACCACTGATAGCACTGATAACATTCAACGAAAATTTTCTCTGAACTTCTTCAACGAGTGGAATGCGAATGAACTTTGGAACCAAATGTCATTGACAAGCTTTAAAATACTTGAATGAACGCGGACGCAGCGAAAGCGAACGGCCGAACGACAATGAATGCGTACGTACGAAACAAAAGCTTTTCTTTATTCCTTCACCTCTGTTTATACTCATTCGTATGCAGGAAGCGATTTTGTGTGTACACGAATGAATGTGCATTGCCTTCGGCATTCGATTTTGGGTTTCGAATATTTGAGGCACTGGCTTCAGTGTTTTCACTTAGCGTTGGATAGAGTCAATGTTCGAAGTGAATCAAGTGTTTATTGAGAAATTCTGTAAAATTCTTCAAAATGCCTCAACACATGGCTGCAAAATATTTCCGCGATGATCGGAAGCGCGTGATAGACCAGGAGGCACGGAAAACCTGCGAAACAGACGCGGACCGTTGCTGAACGCGTTCGATTGTATCGAGTCAACAAGAAAGCGGTCAAAGGTAATTCTAATTTTAGGATTTATTCAATACCCGCCCAATTTCAAAATGAATTGTTCATTTTGGAGTTAAGTTTCTAGACCATTTATTTTGTTATTAGTATATTAGTGAATGGAGCATTAAAAACAATCTCGTAGTTCTACGTCAACAATGCCGTCGTGCTTTGGACACAACCCTTAACTTTTTTTTAACAGGGCTGGTAGCAGGTCACTTTTTAGTGACTTGGTCACTATTTTCAAGTCAGTCACTAAAAAGTCACTTTTTTCATCAAAAAGTCACTAAAGTCACTATTCCTTCAAATTTAGTCACTAAAGTCACTTTTTACGACCAATGTTGAGAGTCAAGAATTTGACTTTAAAAACCTAAAGTAAAATCTGACAAGAAGAGTTGCGAACATATCAAGCTGAACATTGCATTAGGTCCTAAGTAACATTGATCGATTCTCTTCGTCGACTTACTCTTTCGTTAATAGCTTGAGCACATAGCCGTTTTTTGCTGTGTTTGTTTTATCAGATGCTAGATAAAAGCTTCTTTTACCAAACTGTGTGCTGAAAATACCTGGGAATGATTTTTTTTATCTTGAATTTGGTCTTTTTTTTATCTTGAAAAATGACATAAATGTTCAGAGATTTCGAAAAATGTTCTAAATTTTATATTCTGGCTATTTTACATTTAGATCTTGAAAGTTATCCAAACCTACACTGCAAAAAAAAAGTTACTTAAAATGCACCTGAAAAGGCACGTAGATATTTTCACATAGAAATCAATTGATTAACACGAAAATTTGTTCGGACTTTCCGAACAAATTGATGTGATCTTTAAATCATTTGTTTTATTTTTAAAAAGCATGAAAAATATCGGAATAGCGGAACAATATCTTTCCGATCAATAAATGTCCCTATTGGTCACTTTTTAATTGTTTAAAGGTCACTATTTGGTCACTATTTTCATAATTTTAGTCACTAAAGTCACTACTATTACATCGCATACCCACTACCAGCCCTGTTTTTAAAGCTTTTATATACTATTTTAAGCCGATCATTACCTCTTTTCAATGTGCTATAACTATGCGAGCTGCAAACCACTTTCATTTGAAAGTTTAGATTCAGATCTTCTGCCCCACCTTTTATAGATAGGATTTTTATTTCCACATTCACAAAGTTATGATAAAAAATATCTAGATTTCTTTATAACTTGATTTGAAGGTAAAATTGAAACCCTTTTATTGCGTCAATTCCTTTGATATGGTGCCTGAAAATGAAGGGACAAACTTTAATGAAATTGAATACAAAAAAATTCTGGTGTAATTTTTTTCAAGGTTGATCATGGAGGGTTAAAAGAAAAGGGTAAATTTAAGGTTAAAAAAATTCACCTTCGTGGTGGTAAATCGAAGAAAAAACTTTTTATTGAATATTTCTTCTGTAACAATATCCTCATGGTGGTGCATGGGGGACTAATCAAAATGAATAACTCTGGTCAGTGATGCAACATATCATGACACTCACGTGACACTCGTCTTCGCTTCAACCGACTATCGCTGACAGATCGTTTTGTCACGCAGTGAGAGTTAGAGCCATGGCAAACAACAATCACCAGTAATGGTCGCTGCTCACAAGCAAAACGTTACACTCGCTGCTGATGATGAAAAGCACAACGAAAACAGTGATGACTTCTGCAGTACGATCATGAGAAAAAGCGAAACGACAGAAGAAAATGAAAACAATGCCTACGCATTCCAAGTTCGTCTCGGCAGGTGCGACTGTGTGAGTTACAAACAAAGCAGGCAACATTAAACGGACGCTGTTGGGCTCACTCACCAACACACTCACATAAGCAAACAAAGCAGCAACTGCTTCAAAACGAGCACAGATGAGTGTCGTGATTGTCGGGAATGACCAGATTGGTGATGGATCACAACAGAAGACGACATTCATCAGTTGCTTTTTACTTCTTTCGTCAACTTGATGGATGGTCATGGAGAGAGCATCGACGAGCACATTGATAGGAATGTACAAAGCGTTACTACCATCAGCTGTTTGGCGATCGTGATTGTGATAGGTCGCAACTCTGACTCTGGTCCTAAAATTGAATAGCGGTAAAAATTCGGAGATGCACATTTAACTGAAAATTTCTGGTGGAAAGTTCGCAACACTAAATGTAAAAGCAAGGTTTATTAATTTTTATGGTTGATAATTTGCATCCTTCTGATGAATGCAAGCTTCATTGAAAATTTATGACGGAGAATTTGCATCATTCTGCATGAAGAGGCAAAGCATGAAAATTGCATGGTGAAACAAACTTCACTGACATTTTTGGTGCACTATTCTGTTGGATGGAGGAGCATGTTCTATTGAAAATTTCTGGTGCAAAATTTGCATCGCCCTGATAAATGAAATGAATAGATAATTTCTGGTGGAAAACTTGCACTTGTCTGGTAAATGAAGGCACAAGCTTTATTTAAAATTAAACTTCATTTAAAATTTCTGGTGGAAAATCTGCACCGTTCTGGTGAACGGATAGGCAAACTTTTCGAACAAATTTTAATAATAATTTCTGGTGTAAAATTTGCACCATTCTGATCATTGGAGGGAAGCTGCTTTACTGAAAATTTATGATGAAAAATTTGGAAATAGAGACAAGCTTTATTTGAAAATGTTTGGTGGAAAATGGTAAAAGGAAATCGGCACCAATCAGAAAATTGGAGAAGCAATTTTAATTGAATATTAACGGTGCATCGTTCCGGTCAAATCAAATTTTCTGGTGTAAAATTTTCTGGGGGCAAGTTTGTATTGAGAATTTCTGGTGTATGATTTGCAACATTCTGCTGCATGGAGAGGCAAGCTGAATTGAAAATTCCTGATCTAAAAATTGCACAGTTCTGGTGAATGGAGGGGCAAGTTTTATTGAACATGATTCCTTAGATTAACTGATTCTCCAAAATTTCAGGTACAAAAGAGTGTCTTCGGTGACACAGCAGCAAACAAATCAATGTTGAGCTCCACAATGAAATGTTTTGTGCGGATCACTCGGACGGCCATCAGGATGCTTGTCTAGGTAAGGTTTCTGATTGTATTTTTAAAAAAGTCATAGGGGAAACAGTCCTTTTATTGTGATACGTTAGGCTTAGCTGTGGCTTAGTTTACTAACGTATCTTTAAACTGTTCGCCTGGTAGAGGAGAATTTAGTTCATTCGAGACGGTTTAGAAGAGTTAGGTGCTTATTGTTGTGTATGGAGACCTCTCTGCACAACAATAGACTTCTAAAGTTTCTTGCGTATTACGTAGAGTAAGGTGGGGCAATAGTTTGTTTTGAGGTTTTTGATGAAATTGCACTCTAAAACTCAATGTTCCAACAGCTACTTGAAAGGTCTTTTAGATGCAACATCAGAAGAAAAATTAAAACAATTGATGAGATTTTCGAGAAGCTATAGGGAAACGTGTATTTTGAAATGAAAAATTATGGCTCTTGTACGAACTTTGCAGGTGTACAAAGATCATAAATTTTGGATGGATGATTTTATTTCAGGGCATGATTGCAATTCTCTTGAAAGATTTTTGAGGGATATTAGAATTCTGATAAATCATCAGTTAGCTTGAATTGCCCATATTTTTTTCGTCGATCTTGTTTTCCGTACTGAGTGCCAATGCTACCGACGTCAGGGAAGTAGCTTCCAAACCTGGACCCTACCTATCGACCGGGGACCAACAGCTTTACTTCCCTGATACCGTGATTAGAGATTTTATGCTGGTGGCGCCGACTGGGATTGAACCCAGGCCCTTTGGGGGTGAGAGGCAATCACGCTTATCACTACAACATCGGCACCGCCTATAGTTGGGCAAAAAAATTGAGTCCAGCCTCAAAACAATGTAAAAATACACATTAGAGTGGTTCAAAATATCGATTGTGCAGGTCCTAGTAAATTTCCCAAAATTTGAGCACATTTGGAAGCGAACTCAAGCTTACTTTGAAGTTCAATCAAAAAGTGGTCTTTAGCAAAGTTGTAGCTGATAAAATTCCCCATATGATGAGGTAGCTAACTTTCCCATAAATTAAAGGATTTTGAAATATTTTATACTAGGAAATTTGGGTATAAAAATTTCGACCATCTGAACGCCCCCCAAATCGTGATTAGAGCCATATTTACGGAGATAAATCGATTTAAAGGTTTAGGAAATCCACCGGCCGACAAATAAAGGGTTTTGAAATATTTTACACTAAGAAATCCGGGTATGAAAATTTCGACCATCTGAACACCCCCCAAATTGCGATTAGAGCCATATTTACGGAGATAAATCGATTTAAAGGTTTGGGAAATCCACCGGCTGACAAATAAAGGATTTTGAAATATTTTATACTGGGCAATCCGGGTATTAAAATTTCGACCATCTGAACACCCCCCAAATCGCGATTAGAGCCATATTAACGGAGATAAATCGATTTAAAGGTTTGTGAAATCCACCGGCCGACAAATAAAGGATTTTGAAATGTCGGCCTTTATTTGTCGGCCGGTGGATTTCCCAAACCTTTAAATCGATTTATCTCCGTAAATATGGCTCTAATCGCGATTTGGGGGGGGTGTTCAGATGGTCGAAATTTTTATTCCCGGATTTCCTAGTTTTCCCGGATAGTTTTTCTCAAAATCCTTTATTTGTCAGCCGGTAGATTTCCCAAACCTTTAAATAAATTTATCTCCGTAAATATGGCTCG